ACACGTATATATATGTGTATATATATATATATATATATATGTAATATATATATATATTTGTGTGTGTATATATATATACATATATTTAATCCATCTGGTTTGGATTGCATTTGTGTGGATGCTCTCACTGTAGTAGCATCACAAGGATTTATGTTTCATACTATTGTTTCAGACATAATCCGTAATCGAGCACCAACAGTTGGCACACCGTTAAGCCAAACGGCACAAATACATTTATGTAAACGGGACAGATGAAGCCCAGCCGTGGCATTACGGCAGAAAGCAGGTCAATGGCGTCGAGCGAACGGGCAAATCCCTGCCATCAGTCGCACCACGCTCAAATCCGTGCCCTAATGTCACCATGACAACCGCGCTGTAAGTTCAATTAGGAGGGAGGACTAGACAGCGGATTGAATAAGAGCAGGGAAAGTCCATCCAGTTAAGCCATCAACTGGCATCACTCTCGCGCCACTCCAGCACCGACACCAGACCGTCTGCACATCTCTGTCTGGAGAGGATGGAGGTTTGACTAGTGTTTTTAATGCTGAACTAGGTCAGACAGGAGCAGACTGGTGCAGGTCATGCATTAAACAACATCCTCAGAAGTGTTGAGAGAGATATGCACAAACGTTAGGTTCATTTCGGATGCTTGGAAGAGACTTCGCACTTCAATAAAAACCAGTTACAGTGTATTTCATTCATTTGCAATGCATAACTGTCATGCAACTAGTATTATTTTTGCAGTATCTTCACTATGCGCAATACATTTTCTGTGTGCATGAATTACCCAGATGACATACCTATCTATTTGTCTGTATGTGCAGTATACAAAAGATCATACTGTATCCCACAATGCAATGCACCCGATATGACCTTATATTTCAAGTGTGACAAACTACAGAAAATATGAAACCTTGGTATTAAACATCTTTGTGTCTTCTGTCTCAAAACAAATAAAAACAAAAACATTTCTACTGAATTTGACCTTGCGAGCTACAAACAAAAATATACGTTGCAACCAGAGTAATCTGATTCACTAACAAATGACTCTTTTGAGCTGATACTTTTTAGTGAATTGAAACCAAACAGTAGAACTAGTATACTCCAGTTCACTAACAAATGACTCTTATGAAATGGTTCCTTTTAGTGAATCAAAAACAAACGGCACAGCTAAGAGTATAATTTACAGATAAATGATTCATGAGTTGGTTATTTTTAGTGAATCCAAACATATAACACAATCAGTATAAATTCACGAACAAATGACTCTATGAGCTGCTTCTTTTTAGTGAATCAAAAACATACACAACTAGTATAGTCCAATTTAAGAACAAATGACTCTATGAGCTGGTTCTTTTTAGTGAATCAAAAACATAGCAAATTGGACTATGCTTATC